TTCCCAAACCCCATTCCAAACCCCATTCTTACCAAACCCCATTATTCCCAAACCCCATTCCCAAACCGCATTCCCAAACCCCATTATTCCCAAACCCCATTATTCCCAAACCCCATTCCACACCCCATTATTCCCAAATCCCATTATTCCCAACCCCATTATTCCCAAACCCCATTATTCCCAAACCCCATTCCACACCCCATTATTCCCAAACCCCATTATTCCCAAACCCCATTCTTCCCAAACCCCATTCCAAACCCCATTCCAAACCCCATTCCCAAACCGCATTCCCAAACCCCATTATTCCCAAACCCCATTATTCCCAAACCCCATTCTTACCAAACCCCATTATTCCCAAACCCCATTATCCCCAAACCCCATTCCCAAACCCCATTATTCCCAAACCCCATTATTCCAAACCCCATTATTCCAAACCCCATTATTCCCAAACCCCATTATTCCCAAACCCCATTATTCCCAAACCCCATTCCCAAACCCCATTATTCCCAAACCCCATTCTTCCCAAACCCCATTCCAAACCCCATTATTCCCAAACCCCATTCCAAACCCCATTATTCCCAAACCCCATTTTTCCCAAACTCCATTCCAAACCCCATTATTCCCAAACCCCATCCTTCCCAAACCCCATTCCCAAACCCCATTATTCCCAAACCCCATTCCACACCCCATTATTCCCAAACCCCATTATTCCCAAACTCCATTCCACACCCCATTCCCAAACCCCATTCCCAAACCGCATTCCCAAACCCCATTCCAAACCCCATTATTCCCAAACCCCATTATCCCCAAACCCCATTATTCCCAAACCCCATTATTCCCAAACCCCATTCCCAAACCCCATTATTCCAAACCCCATTCTTCCCAAACCCCATTATTCCCAAACCCCATTATTCCCAAACCCCGTCCCCAAACCCCATTATCCCCAAACCCCATTCTTCCCAAACCCCATTCCCAAACCCCATTCCAAACCCCATTATTCCCAACCCCCATCCTTCCCAAACCCCATCATTCCCGATCTCCCGGCGGCTCACTCACCCGTGCAGGGCGCGGACGACGCATTTCTCCAGGGGATCGTTGGTGTACCTCGTGTCCAGCTGGAAGCG